AGGGCACTGGATGATTATGACGACCAGACCTTTGTAAAGGTGAGAAAGAAGCAAACATAAAATGAAGACAACATTCATGGGAGAAATTCTAGACGTTATCCTGGAAGAACACAGGATGGAGTGCAGCAACATGAGAAATTATACAAAAATTTCTTCTTAAAAAAATTTTTTTGTATTTGGGGGGGTGGATAAATTAGATTTATTTATATATCTACTTATTAATGGAGGTACTGGGTACTGAACTTATGACCTTGTGAATGCTAAGCCCGAGCTCTACCACTGAGCTATACACATGCCCCTCTCCCCAAAATTTCTGACTGCAGAAAAAAGAAAAAAAAACTACTCAGAATTGGAAAACTATAAGCAGCAAAAAAAGGGGAAGCTTTCAAGTTAAAGACAGAGAATAAACAAGAATATGATCAAGGAAAAAGGAACAAAGAAGAAATAGTAAATGCCATTGAAGCTCAGGTAAAACAAAAAAGTATGTAAATGTTGGAGGGTGGGAAGGGACAGATGGGATTTCAAACTTGTAGAATAGATAAACAAGATTATATGTATAGCACAGGGAAATATACACAAGATCTTATGGTAGCTCACAGAGAAAAAAATGTGACAATGAACATATGTATGTTCATGTGTAACTGAAAAATTGTGCTCTACACTGGAATTTGACACAACATTGTAAAATGATTATAAATCAATATAAAATGTTAAAAAAGTATATAAATGTCAATGAGACAAGTTTATCATATTTAAAAAAACTTAAAAAGAGGAAGATAAAGAGCAAAAGTAGCAGGAAGAGCACTAATGCCAGTTTAAACTAAGGTTACTATTAGAAATACCAAGAAGAATTAAAAAGAGGAGGAACTTTTGAAGCTTGAAAAGGAAGTAAGTGAAAAGCCAAAAAAGGCAGAAAAAGGAAAACTGCTGCTGCTGAAATTGCTAGGTTTCAAGAAAGAGATTTACATAAACTTGAATGGAAAATTATAGATTAGACAGGCCAAGAAAAATTAAAAGATAGAACAAAAAAAGATTGGAAAAATTATAAGAAAAGAGTGAAAGCATGTCAGTAGGTTCCCCCAGGCTTTACAAATTTAGCAAGGTTTGGAAAGAATGGACCAAAAATGTAGGACCTCCCAGTTGTGGGCCACTTCTATATATCCACACAGGGCTACTCCAATCTGGAGACAAAGAGAGGAGAGAAGAATATGAGATAATGAAGCTAGTATACAGTTGATGAGAATATTAGCATATTCAGTTATTTTGGAAAACATAGTGACTATGTTCTTTAAATATCACTAGTCTAATTAATTGATAATTAATAACATTATATGTTAATTGACAGGTACTAATGTTCCATATTGACATTGGCATTAGTATTTCATGTTTATACTAAGAGGACTATTTAGTTTATACGTTGGCCCATTACTGATGTAAAGCCATTTTTAAAAGTTTATGTTACAAACATTATTTCATTTAATGCGCAAAACATTTAGATTGTTCATGGCATATCAAAATGAACTGGGACAATTTTAGAGTGACATTTTTTAAACCAAAAATACACTCTTTTAGAGCTCACACGTAAGTTAGCACAAGTAATAAAACTGTAAAGTTTTCTTTTTAGAGTTATAAAATAAGTTGATACTTAAAGTTTAACAAATTGATAGATTGCCAATTAGTAGATTTTTGTATAATAAACACTTCCTGTTCGTTTGAAGGAAAAAAAAAGGAGAAAGAAAGAAAATTAAAAAGAAAAAAGAAAAACAACCCTAAAAAAGAAAACTTCCTAAGGACACAAAGTCATCACAGAGCTGAGATTAAAACTCAGGCTGTCTGGTTCTAGAGTCCATCCTCTTAATTGCAGTGCAGACTACCTCCCACAGCAGAAAACTTTAAAGATTTTCTCATAGATACTGTGACAGTATTATAGCCTTAAAAGAAGAACAGGATGCTTTCATGAAAGTATAAACAGAGACCAGGACAGAGATCTTAGCTGTTTAAAATTTGAAGGAGAAAAATAAGACAATATCAGAAAACAGTGTCTCGGAGCTATCAAAATAAGTAGTTGCACGGGAATCAGTTTACGTAACATCCCAAAGGACAACTGGCGCTGTTCCTACAGTTAGGGAGTCAGGTCACTGCTGCTGTTGCTGCTACCCTGGGCTTGTCGTCACCCAGGTCCCTCAGGTCACCCAAGGACACTGCTTGTCTCCTACCCCGGGCATTATTTGTCGTTGCTGAGGAACTTCTTGGCAACAATAAACATGCGATCTGCAGTCATGGGAGGTGTTAGTCCACGGAGCAATCCTCGACCAAAAGATGTGGCTGGGCAAACACACGTCCCCTTCAGAAGGGCTGTGCGGAGATGCGGGGCTCGAAGCCGCCTTGGTGAAGACGTCCTGCAAGACCTCGCGAACAGCTCCTCGAGGAGCTGCGGCCTTCTTAGTAATGCTCCCCGTCCTTCCTCGCCGCGCACCAGTTTCCTTCCCTCCTGCTTCTCTGGCAGGGCACTCCCCAGTGGGAAACCCAGTCCAAGACAAGGAACTACTGAGAACACGGTCATCAGTCACGGTCATCAGTGGCACCGCGGCAGTCACCAGTCACCGCGCTGCAAGTCCGACCTCGCTGGATCTCGCGGGGTCTCGCGGGATCTCGCGGGGTCTCGCGGGGTCTCGCGACTTCTCACAGAGCACGCATGGGTGCCTGGGATGAGAAACAGCTGGGTCCTGTGGCTCACGAGGCCTGTGGTTCCAATCCCTTCCGTGAGGAGCCTGGCTGCCAATATTTATCAGGCAAACGCCAGTATTCCTCGGTGCCATTCCCTCCTGTCCCCACTCAGAGGTGCGGTGGCGCCCTGCCCGGAGCACTGGCCAGGAACAGGGAACTGGCTCCAGCCCAAAGGCCGTGCCAAGAGCGACCACCCAAGGCCGGAGCAGGAATGAACTGCGCACGCGCGGGCTGCACCCTGTAGCCTCCCAGGAGCCGTGCAGGACCAGCTGGAAAAATGAGTGAAAAAGACCATTTCTTAGACATAGCAGCATGAAACTTAAAAGCACCAAGTAAAGAAAAGGTTCTAAGAACTTACTTCAACTGAAAAAAAAAAAAAATTAACTTAGAAAGGAACAAGAATCAGTCTGGCATCAGCAGCCCCAGAGACTGGAAGGCAGGGGAGCCATGTCAAAGATGACAATCAGCCCCACTCTCAGCCAAGTGTGAAAGCAAAGCAAGCCAGACTACACCAAACATTCGGACATGCAAAGAATCAGATCACTGGCCCCATACGTACCTTTTTTGAAAGAAGTTAGTTGAGAACGTACTTAAGGAAAATAAAGGTATATCCAACGAAAAGGAAGACAGACTCAGGAGACGGTGGTTTCAACTTGGAAGGACAAGAGAGAGAAGCTCTAGGATAACCATACGCAGAAGACTAAAGACAACGCTGGCCAAATTGGAATGGGGGGGGGGGTCTGGGGACAAGGGAGCTGCATGGACTACCGGGATGTGGAGTCTAAAAATTTGACTCTCCTCCACCCCCAAACTTTGGCATCACCTAAACCTGTTGTCACTGTGCCCCCTCTTTCCTTGTGAACACACTGTTCTCTGGCTCTGGGTCCCATCCATCTTCTCCAGGTCACCAGATGCAGTGGGCATGTGGGGTCCTTACCTTGCTTGACCTCAGTAGCGTCTGTTAGAGCTGTGCTCACCCTTTCCCCACTGCTTACTTAAGATGATCAAGGCAAGTGATGCAAGAAATCAAGAAAACAATTCAAAATTTTTGTCAAAAAAAAATAGGAAAGTCATTATTTAAAAGTGAAGGGAATTGTAATGTTGCAGAATTTTAAGAAATTGAGGTAAAATTGTTATATAACATTATATATATTTCAGGTGTACAGCATAATTTGACATCAGTATACACTACAAAGTGATCACCCCCAAAATCTAGTCACCTAATGTTGCATAATTTTAAGTAATTGGGGGAATATAAGAAAAGGTAATCCATTTGACCTTGATGTGTGGAATTATCCAGCAGTGGTATAAGGGTCATGAAATTGGAGAAGGAAGTGTCATTCCAAACCACTATTTAGCTCAACTGTGAACAGTATTTATAGAGTAATAGAGTAGTAATAATATGATTTTTTTTAAATCCATCTTTTAGCATGAAGCTATATATGAAGCAAGAAGAGATTTGGTTATCGTGGAAAAGTTAAAAATGTAATGATAAAGTCCAGTGTAGTTGGTGCAAGATAGGTGGGAGGGAAGGGGTAGGTAGGATAGTTTATCTTACCTTACAGAATGAGGAGTTAAGAAATACCATTGAAGCTTGATGGGAAAAAAAAAATTAGAGATTTAATTCTTATTAGTTAAAGTTACAAGGATTACTGATAGAAAAAAATGATAAAAATGGTAGATACTAAAATGAAGAGGAGAAGGAAATTAGTGTTCAGTGAGCCTTATTCTCACCTTCCATGTTGGGAAATTGCCTAAATGTGATACATCATGGATTAGAAATAAACTACTTAGAATCGTGGAGATAACCAACATAAAAAGAAGGTGCTTCTGATCTGCATGGCTCTGAGTGAGAGTCACGAAAGAAAGTAGAGAATTTTCTGCATAAACATTCAGAACTCTTTGATTTCAGGTGCATGGCTCGCTTCTAGGAAAACAAATACAAAATTATTTTTTAAAGCTGTTAGCATACAGATGGCAAATTAAATCACAAGGATTAATTAAAGTACTTTGAGATAGAGTGCAATGGAAAGTGAAGAGAGATGCAATGAGAGGATCCCAAGGCATATCAAAAGTTTAAAGAAGGCACGAAAAGTGTTTGTAACGAGGAAGCACAAAGTTTGGGGGTGAAGTAGAGGAGAGTAGGAAGTGGCAACCAAGCCAACACCAGATCAAAGGACCCTTCTGTAGCTGTCAGGTGTAGAGTGAGATGGACCCGTTCAAAGGCTGATGGGCAGGGGGCCGTGGAGAGGGAGCGGTTGAAGAGGAAGGATATGGGCTGTGGACGAGTGGGCTTCAGACAGCTGCGCAGGGATTCGGCCCGCTGCGCAGGGATTCGGCAGAAGAGGACACCCGCCCTGTGCAGTAGGCGGAAGGCGGGGCCCATGTACGTAGAGCTTGGTGTCTGGGGTCATGAATTTGGGGAAGTTTCTGTCTGACAGCTTCTAATTCCGTTGAGGAAGAGGCCTGCCCCTGCTGTGGAAAGAGAAGGAGCAAGCGGATAGGCACTGGATTTATTTTTGTTGTCTGATTTTTTTTTTTTTTTTAAGCGCTCAGCAATCCAGGGCAGATGCCAGGTGTATGAGGAACTTGCTTCCGCCAAAATGGGGTTTTGCCAGGGGGTGCAAAAGCCGAATACGTATTTTCTGGGAGCACCAGGAGAGGAAGGCAGAGGCAGGCCAATTAGTAAAAGGCTAATTCGTTTAAAGCTACTTCTGCAAGCAGTGAAAAGAATTTCAGTTATAAAATAATTTTTTTTAAAGATGCAAAGCAGGAGGCAAGAGGGTTGCAAGGTGAAGTTTGAATTACCATTCAGGATTTATTAACCTAACTCAAGGCTGGAGGAAAGCCCCGAATGACCCGTTCTAAAGCTGGGGCGATTAAGAATTCCAGAATGTAGAGATTCACTCTTACTTCAGCTCAGCCTTAGTGGGCAATAGAGAAGTAGGTCCAGACCACAAAGAGATGGGCCCACTTGGTGAAGGAGCCTTGTATGTAGATGCCAGTCAGAGCTGGGACACATTTGACTGCAAACTGCTTTGGCACTGCTCCACCACGTTGGGAAGGATGAATGAGAAAGTGGACTATTCTGGAAAAGGGCTTGAGATTCCTGGAGGCATCCAACTGGGCATAGTGCTTCCCTGGCCTTGGCTCTGCTCAGCTTTTCTCGAATGGTGTTTAGCAGCTCAGATCCCTTCCACAGACATCTGTGGAAATGAGATGCTGTCCCAGGAAGAGAGCCTTGCACTGTGATGGTGAACCTTGGTCCAAAGTCGCTGTCATTTTGCAGTAATTCCAAGGGCTGCTCTTGACTCAGGTCCTCTAAGCAGGTCTAGAGTCAAGATTCTGCGGCATCCTCATGCTGAGCACCCGTGCTGGGCTGTGCTGGGAGATCCAGGGCGCTTCTGCAGAAGACTGGTATGTGCATTGGTGGGCACTGCGCCTGTGCACATAGGAATGGACCTGATCCATGTCTATCCTGAGAGAAGAATTCCAGCCTCTTCTCTTTGCAGCTGTTGCTGGCACGCTCGGGGGCAGCATTCAGCACACCTCCACTGACATGTGCTTTATGTACCTGAGGCAAGGCAGAGAGGAAAATGTAAGTGGGAACTGGTTCTGAGTGACCCTAGCTGGCGGAACTCCCAGAAGAGAGTGTGGAACAGCGCTGACTTTGTGCTTGGTGGATGCTCAGATGATCACTCGGTGATTGCGATATCTTTTCTCCTTTGCTCTCGCAAGGACAGGCAGAGATACATGTTCCTTTGCCCCTTTGTTCATTTATTCATTTTTATGTGCCAAGCACTGTGCTGGAAACCAGAGACGGAAAACCTGACAAAGACACATCCTTATTTATGAAGGCTCAGAGTCTATTTCCTTTCTTCTGAACCCCTACAGCACTCTACCTGGGCCTCTTTTTATCTCCCTTCACCTTGAACTATATGTTATTGGTTTAAATGTCACCTCTTCTTATGGATTGTTCCCCAGAATTTGCAAAATGGCTCTGGTGGATCCATTCAACCTACAGATAGGTTTTATTTCCCCTTTGACCTCACGGAGAACTTAAAAACAAAACAACCTAGAATTACATATCCCATATAAAATGTAGAAGATGTCACATAAAAATTAGCATTTCTGACTTATCCTAAAATATGAGATCTTCAGCATTAGGTGCAGTTTCCCACATCTGGAGCTGACGGATGTGCCTTTCACCAGAGCACATACCTTCCAGGACATTCCATCCCCACCTCATGGCCCTCCCCACCCATGATGCCTGTCTGCCTGTGGGAAATCTTAAGACTAGCTAGGAAAATTTAATTGTAGCTTGAGTGTGAGTCAACAAGTACTTGGACTGCCTCAAGTGGTGGCTGGGAAAACATAAGAAGGGAGGAACCCAGGAAAAAAAGTGGAAAGGAGGGATTTTCCAGATGTAGTGACGAATCCAGAAGGCTTGGTGGGAATAGGAGTTCTAACCCTGAGGGGCCAGGGGAATGGCGATGTTTACAGCAGGCATGGATAGGAGCCAGTCAGGTGCCCTTCACCAGATAGCACGTCTATCCCCAGTTGCTTAGAGAGTTGGCTGGTAATTCCTTGCTCTTGCCCCCTTGTCCAAAATGGCCACCCGCTGAAAGAATGGGGAACATAAACATTTAGAGGATACATACAGTGCTCTCTGGGGAAACAGCAGCCCACAGCCAGTGATTAACTGACATGCACATACAAAAGGCAATCTTCCTGTCTCAAGGTGGGATCCACTCATTGGTCCAGTTTATTCTCCAGAGCCCCTCCTAGATCAGGCTGAAGGTAGACTCCATCTGGGACCGCAGCCTGATTTAACAGCTCCTTCCTCCACTGTATCTTGGCTGCCTGGCTCCTTTTATCCGAAGATGCTCTCTCAATACATCGTGAGCACCAGAATCTCAGTGAATCATCTAAGGCTGGGAACTCAGCCTTAAACAGTGTTTGCAGCACAATGATGTAGGTTAAAACTGGGAAATGGGTAACGGTGGGGGGTACGATCTAGGGCTCCTCCTCACAGTCTTGGCTTTTTAGCACAGGGCCAGGCACACATAAAATGTGCAGCACATTTTATTTTGTTTGTCAAATGAATTTGATGTGGAGTCTGCTGAGGTTGAGGAAACAGCAGGACATCCAGCATAAGATGCAGAACGCGACACAGGAACGTGGTTGGGCTGGATATTTAGCTCTGTCACAGGGAAGGAGACAATTCAGGAAAGAGATGGTGATTAGTGTCAAGTGCAAATGAAATTTTCATTCTTTTCAGTGTAAAGCAGCCAGCATTTCTTTACCTCAATTAGGTTCATAACTCCAATTAGATCCAGTCTAGATCAATGATTTTACAATGCCTTAATAATGTTTAGGCAAAATTCCAAGTAGTTTTGCTCATTGCTAAAGTGGAAAAGATTAACATTTGATTGGGGAAGAAATTATGGACTTTGCTTATGTCATCTGTGTTCTGTTGCCAAACAATTGAGTGAGCCACCCGATACCCTTCTTGAACAAGGGAGTGTGCAAAATAACTACAATAATCAAGTGTTTGTTGTACTTACGCTTAAGAAGAGATTTATGCCTATCTCTCTTCATTAAATGGATTGTATTTCATTATTATTTTACTTTTTTTAATTTTTGATTTTTTAATTGAAGTATAGTTGATTTACAATGTTGTATTAGTTTCAGGTATATAGCAAAGTAATTCAGTTATACACACATATTCTTTTTCAAATTTTTTTCCATTATATGTTATTACAAGATATTGAATATAGTTTCCTGTGCTGTACAGTAGGTCCATGTTGTTTATCTGTTTTACATATAGTAGTGTGTTAATCTCAAAACCCTAATTTATCCCTACCCCCACCTTTCCCTTTTGGTAATCATAAATTTGTTTTCTATGTCTGTGAGTCTATTTTTGATTTATAGATAAATTCATTTGTATCTTTTTTCACATTCCACATATTAGTGTTATATGGTATTTGTCTTTGTCTGACTTACTTCACTTAGTATGATAATCTCTAGGTCCATCCATGTTGCTGTAAATGGCATTATTTCATTCGTTTTTATGACTGAGTAATATTAAATGGATTATATTTTTTTAACAGAAATTTTTTTAAAAGCAGACAAAAGCATTCAGATGTCCCAAAACGCCACACTATCTTTTCAAACCCAGTTCTCTGATAACCCAAGGAAAGTGGCTTGAATGCTTTAAATCTTGGTTGTCTAATTTCATTCCATAAACTGTAATTATAGCTCTTTATAACATGCTAAATAATTCCTCTGTTACTGGATGTTTATACCTTTCAAATATTTATAGGTTGTCATCATTCCTTAGTCATCTCTTTGCAAAGTTGCACATATTTTGTGCCTATAATACTTTTCATAAATCAATTTCCTCAATACTAAGCTGCTTTTCTTAATTCTCCATTCAGCTTGTCTCCATCTTTTTGATATAGTGCTAATCAAAGGTAAATGAGATATTTTGGGTGCAATTTATCCTAAGGTTGTTTGAGAGGGTTTAAAACTTCCCCACCTGGATCAGAGTTCCTCATTTATATAAAGCTCAGAATAGTGCTGACTTTATCAGTGTTTCTCCCATTTCTCTTTGAAAACTCATAACTAATTTCCCATGTAATGGCATTCAAAAGTCTCTGTGCCATTTCTGTTTCTTACCTGATCATGGAATATGCAGGAATTAAATCAGTTCAGAATATATTTCTGTAATTTGCTGCTTATTATGCAATATTGAATCACATTTCCAACTTCTTTATATCCATAAATTATCATTATTTCTCAGTGTCCTTCAAAATCGATAACATCTGGAAACTTAGAAAATATTATTTTGATTCTAGAGTATTCAAAGCGATAGTAAAATCTTTCTTGCAACTGCAGGAAATTATTCATCATAATTATTTCTTTCCAGTAACGTTTCAGTTAACCTGGTTGTCTCATTATTATGGGACAATTCCTTTTGTCCATCATGTCTTGGACATCCTACTGATGGGATAGCGTACATATTCTTCAAGTGACATTATTACTCTATTGGTATATTTTAAATTTTAAAACTCTTTTTTATAATCCTTTTTAGCTTAAAAGCCTCCTGTAGCTTTCTTGTGCCATAAGGGACAATACTGTGAGTCTGGCCTCTGATGGTGCCACTCAGTCAAACCCCAATCCTCCTTTCTGGTCTCATCTCTTTTCATGCAGCCCCATGAACCCTGTGCCCCACCGTGTGCAATGAATTGTCTATGAAGACTTTGAAAGGATCCCCCCAAATTAACTGCTCCCTCATCCCAGGGCTTGTTGCCTTAATTTGTACCTCAGCGACAGCTCTTGTTTCACTCAGAGCGGTACTGTCCTTTGTACACATTGTTGTCGCCTG